TTCCAATACTGGCTGAGGCAACAAAAAAGTGGCTTAAAACTGTGGAGATACGACAGAGGGGTTTTTTTAACGGTAATCACACTGGACTAGATTTATTCGCCCCCTATTCGAGACCTTTTTCAGCAAAGACTCGACTTTAGACACAAGTTTGTTTCGTTACTAGTCGATAGAAATGTCGCACTATTGTTTTTAAATTGATATTTGATATTAAAGGTGACAAACCAGGGCACATTCCATCTGAGATGGTAAGGGGATGCTGTGGTCCATAAACATTTACGCTTATGAAAAAATGCATTTTGGTTGTCACCCTTAAAGAATTTGATGAATTGCCTCATTTCCAGTAAAAGTGGTATCCAGTTTTCAACACTCACCATACGAACCATAATAGTATGTTTCGTATGGTCAGTGTTTTTTGTCCTTTGTCATTAAAATTGATATGGAATATAAAAAGCAAAATTTCTAGAATTCAAATTGAGTAAAAGAAATATTACCTTACGCAATTTAGAAACAAAGCGAAAACTTGAGACATTTTCACGTGTTTGGACAGTTTGTACAAACGAGGAGCGGAGTATTAACTTATCAAATGAAATATTGAAATTTAATAACTTTCTTCGGCGTGTCTATAAAGTTTTGGGACGTGATTAAAACTTATGTAGTAATAGTATGTTAAAATATAGAAATTATATCTTAACAATTACTGTCACATGGCGCTGACATGAATATTGAAATAATATGATAATTTATTTTTGAACCAGTATACAGAAACTCATATTTACTTCAACTTATTTATGAAACTCCAAGTTGTGTGTTTAAATGATTCTGATGTCAAAATTCACCTAGGAGTCCTGTAGTATTAGCATGAATATTTAATTTTGGTACAATTTATACAAAATGAGCATACAGTTCCTTTTGAAATTTTGAGGTGTAATGCTTGCTAATGTAAGGCTAGTATTCTATCTACTCAAACGGACTCTGAGACAAAAAGGATATTTGTTAAAGGTATCTACTATTAAAGTAGATAAACGTAAAATGCCCGGAGAACTAGTAAATCGAGGCTTACCCGGCTTTTAGGTGTTGTTGTAAATAATACTCTCATTGACATACGACGCTCTGCCTTCTGATTGATGGTGAAATAATTTTTAAGATCAGAAAGTATCTATTCTATTATAAGATTTTTTAAACGTTACCCTAGAGTTAAGATTTACTCCTGTATTTGTACTGAGGCTTTTTAAATAGTTAAATTGCATGGAGACAAACATCCAGACCTTTATCTGTAGTTGATTGTGTAAATCTATTAGGGAAGCTTATGCTTAGCAGTGAACTTGTGATGGAGTAGAAGAAGAAGTATGGTTAATTTTGAAATAAGCAGTGAATTATTTTGAAATTTGTAACATTTTAATTAAGGGCATTAAAATTGCACAAAGAATCCAGACCTGTTACTTTTATTTGTAGTCCATCCAAATACTTGTTCAATGCGTAATTTTAATCCGCGGCCCTCAGCGCCGCAACTTAATGTTAAATTATGGAGCCATCCAAAAAAATCTCCTTCTGCTTTTTTTGCAGCCCTCTATAGGTCTTGTATGATGTTTCAAATTGCAATACCATAAGTCTCGAGACCGTGTTCTCCGTTACCAATCTCGATATTTTACAAAGGAGTTGATACTGTTATCTATCGGAAGGCAGGAGATTTTTCTGGCGTTTTCCTGAAGTTTAACTTACTTCGTCCATGGTATAAATGGGGTAATTCTCTTACGTCACCACCACACTTCGAAAATGGTGAACCTTAATTTCACTGGTGAGCAACATTACCAGTACCGGCTACCGGGAACCAGGCACCGGGTATAGGCTTTATACTAAGTGTAAGAACTAATTTTCTAAGTAATGAATGCTAGCAGGTACATTCTTGGAATGGACTTCTCCAGCAGTAGACTTAAAAATAGAACATTGACATCCCCTAAGGAATGTCACTTAACATGATTGTAGGCCACCTGCATCCATCGTTTTCCAAAATTATAATCCAGGTTGTCACTTTATTTAGTGATGGACCGCCCTATATTCCACTTATTGTAAATACTTCCGAAACGGATTATTAATATAGAAAAAAATCTATCGATTGCACTTTTTTATATCCTGTACTTGAACTCACTAATGACTTTTAAACAAATTGTTATGTACACATAAGACCTGGCAAACACTCACCTGGGTAATTTCTGAGCTGCTCGACGTTTACCGGGCCCAGTGTGATGTATCTTCTGGCCAAATGTGTCCACTATTGTTCTTTTATCCACAGGTCAGTTATGGACAACTGCCTTAGTATTCGATGGAGCAGGGGAATGAGATCTTATCTACTGTTGGTAACAAAACGCGCACGTAATGTGTACCGTCAAAAGCGTTAGTGCTTGCGTTGACGAGGAAGTTGGCCGTTACTAGCGGTCGTTGCGGGTGTTGTTGAAAAAAGGGTTGCTCGCTTCAAAGTTAAAGAGTGCTTGCCCGTAAGAAAAAATATTTATTCGAAATGTTATGCGTAAGACGAAATGTTTTCCTTTCAAATTGCACTATTTCTAGTTATAAAATTGTACCGAAACATTAATGAAAAAAAAAAAGAAAAAGATATCAAATACGGAACATGCCGCTCACCTTAAAAGTACGCAGTATCTTTTAATTAAATCTAAACAAATCTGTAATACAAACTAGCCCTTGTTAAAAAAATATGTAAGGAATATAAACAAAGTTAAATCTAGTAAATATCAAACTATATCTTAAGATTACTGATAAATATTTAAAGTTATTTCTTAAGAAAGTAAAATAAGAAATATGAATCATTATTTACGTTTATTATTCTATAGGAAGTGGACAAATTTTATTAACTGATCGCTTAAAATATATTTTCCCAATTTGGAGAGTTACAACACGCGTAATCCCATCAGAGCCTGGATGCAGACGGTGTAGACGTACAAGTCGACATTGTAAAGGTGGAAAGTTGTCATCGCATACTACCACAATCATGCCTTCACGGACCGGATTTCCACGATTGGTGAAGCATTTGCCACGTTGTTGAATTTCATGCAAATACTCTAAGCTCCATTTTTTCTAGAAATGTTGAACCGATTGTTGTATCAAACGCCACAATATGCATAGTGGACGCGAATTTAGCACTGCCTCTATCTGACATAATAGGGTATGCATCTCGTCATAGGTTAGGATACGAGGACCTACTACCCGATGAAAATGGTGTTTAAAACTTTTGACGCCCGCTTCAAAAAGGCCACCAAAATGACTTGCATACGGTGGCTGAAAATGCCATGTAATTCCTTCTTCCAGAGTCTTATTCTGGAGCGCGCCTTACACAGTGTCATTCTGTAGGAAGGCATACAATCCTTTAGGTACCTGTCACAGCCGATGAAATTCTTACCGCAATAGGAATAAATATCCTTGCATAAACCTCGGCGTGACGTGAAGCGTCGTAGTGCCGCTAAGAAACCCTCTGTTGTAAGTTCCGAAACTATTTCGAGGTGTATGGCCTTAACGCACATACATACAAATACACAGACGTAACATTTTACTACTTTTGCATTTCGCACTTTGTTAGCTCGAACGTAAATAGGACCAGCGAAATCAACGGCGGTTTTAAGAAAGGGCCGTTCGGGTCGCAAACGTGAGGCAAGCAATGGACCCATGCTGGGCTGCTGACGCACGGGACGTGTTCGAAAACAACGGACGCAGCGAAGAATAAATTGCCGTATGACGTCACGCCCGGATAAGATCCAATATTTTTGTAGAAGTATGTATTGTGTACTTTGCGCACCAGCATGCAAGTGAGATACGTGAGTATAATTAATAATTAGAATCGATAACGGTACGGACGGACCTACACGAACAAAATTGTTTGAGTCAATAAAGGGATTTAAGCGTCTTAATTGATTTGATGGGAGTTTTCCCTTAGAAAGGTTGTAAATGTCATCACGAAAAACGGATTGTTGCACACGAAATATGAATAGATTCAAAGTAAAATTGAACTCGGTTACGGAAATATGTTTAGAAAGAGGGGTTTGAACCTTCTTACATTTTTTATAGAAACGGAATAATAAAGCAGTGACACGAACCAGTTTACCCAGGGATGAATAACGTGATATAATTTCTACGTCGTCGTTGGTGGAAGAAGAAGTGCATGGATTGGAAACAATTGCAATGTTACGTTTTTCTTCTTGTGTCTGAGTAGTTTTGAAAACAGGCCAAGTAGCCTCATCCTTTTTTAAGAAGTGAGGACCGCGGAACCATATGCTGTGATGTAAAAAATTGGCGGGAAGCATTCCGCGTGAAGCCGCATCTACCGGATTGTCTGCAGACGGGACATGCCGCCAACGACAGTACGGAATATTACTTATAATTTCTGTTATGCGATTGGAAACAAAGGTTTTCCACTCAGGTGGCGAAGAACGCAACCACGCTAGTACCACAGATGAATCCGACCACGCGTATATCTGATCGCGATGTATGCGATTCCCATAAATATTTAAGGTAGCTTTCATTAATCTAGATAATAATAGGGCCGCCATGAGCTCTAGACGCGGTATGGACATACGTTTAGTAGGCGCCACGCGTGTTTTAGCTAGAAGAAGTTAAGTGTCCACTGCACTCATGTCTCCCAGTACGCAAAGATAAACGCATGCGGCATATGCTTTCTCGGATGCATCTGAGAAGTCATGAAGTTGTACAGAATGAGTGTGGGTAAATACATGTCGCGGAAAAGTAACTTTCGATAAGAGTGGAAGCTCGTTAGTAAAACTGGCCCATGAATTTATTATATCTTGGGGTGGGTGTTCTTCCCAATCTACACGTGCTATCCACAACAACTGGATTAAATGTTTAGCAAAAATGGTGACTGGCGATAAAAGGTCAAGTGGGTCATAAATTCTAGCAATTTCTGAAAGAATCCAACGCTTAGTACATTTGTTAGAGGTAATTTGAACACTGAAAGTAAATGTATCTGAATTTGGGTTTCACTGAAGACCAAAGACTTTAGTTTTCATGTCATTTTCCATCTCGGCAAAAGGTACGTTATGGTGCCGCTCACTATGAGAACTTGTGGGCTGAACCGCATCGAGTAACGCAGGCGAGTTACTGTGCCACTTGTGAAGAGTGAAGCCGGTAGCCTGAGATATGCTTATTAACTCCTGTTGTATAGCAAGAGCTTCTGCCTCCGTATTGTCGTCTGACACTATATCATCTACGAATATGTCACCTTTTATGACTCGAGAAGCACGTGGAAAACGAGTGGCTTCATCAAGCGCAAGCTGTCGCATTATACGAAGTGCGAGGTAAGGCGAGTAACTAACTCCGAAAGTTACAGTACGAAGGCGATAGTCACGTATAGGTTCGTCAGGAGAAGTGCGCCATACTATACGCTGAAAATCCCTATCTGTGTGACGGACTAAAATGTTGCGGTACATCTGTTTAATGTCAGCTGTGAAGGCAATAGAATGAATTCGAAACTTCAGTAGAACGTCGACTATATCCAGATGAAGTTTGAGTCCTGTAAACAAAACATCATTTAGGGAATTCCAATGGGTAGTCTTACAACCAGCATCGTAGACCACTCGCATTTTTGTTCTTTCGCTAGATTCCTTCACCACGCAGTGGTGCGGAATATAATAGGAGTCACCAGATTTAGGTGAAAGTCCATCACAAGGTTACATGTAATCAAGGTCCAAGTACTCCTGGAGGCATGCATGATAGCTATATTTCAGTGGCGGATTGCGTTCAAGCTTGTATTCTAATCTGCGAAATCGAGCGATTGCAATGTCACGTGACTCACCAAGAGGCAAGGCGTCAGGCTTGAAAGGCAGAGCGACTACATATCGTCCTGTATCATTACACGTATGCGTGTTTTCGAAAATAGTCTCACACAAAACTTCGTCGGGAGTGAGAGACCTTTGTTCTGTAATTGATTTTATTTCCCAAAAGCGTTGGGGATCAAATTTATCGTTAACCGAGCTGTGAAATACTTAAACTAGGAATGAAATGGGTGAATGAATATTAAAATCTAGCCTGCCTAGCAGTAAATATCCAAAAATACTATTTATTGCTATGAGTGTACCAGGCGCTCCAGTCACCGTATTGTTTAATAGAATTTGGGGAAGTATGTCCGCTCCAAGTAACATTTCTACGGGTTGTGGTGTGAAGAAATCGGGATCAGCCAACGTCAAATTTTTAATGTGTGACCATTCCTTATAAGGTATTTGACAAGAGGGCATTTGTGTAGTAATAAGCTTCGGTAAGATTAAGGCATCGATTTGTACCGAAGGTTGTGTTTTATTTTTTGGTGTAATATAGCACGAAACTAAGCCCTTTGGATAAACCGGTTTGTTTCTATTAATTACGTAAACAGGAGGAATATTGACATGTTTTCTCGCTAAGCCCAAACTTTGTACGCACGCCTCACTAATAAAAGAAACCTGGCTTCCCGAATCTATGAGACAACGCACGGTTGATCGCTTATGATTATTTACGTAAACATCGATGAGCGCTGTTGACAGTAACACTGTACTCGTTCGTACTGACGAAGCAGAACTAGATTGCGCGCTAGCGTCGCGAGTCGTGTGATTTATCGACGTCATAACCAGCTGAGAATCGCTCGAAGTGGCGGGATCGTACGCTGTAGGAGGGAGTGAAGCGGAGCTGTCATGCGGATCAGCTGTCTCGGTAGCACCTACATAAGATTGATTATCGAAATGAATTAGCGTATGATGATGTTTGTTGCACGTCCGGCACATAAAATTTGATCTGCATTGCTTAACGTCGTGTCCAACGTATAAACAATTAAAGCAAACGTTTTTACCACTAATAAATGTATAGTGCTCCTTGGATGATAAGTTTAAAAACGTCGGACATTTAGTTAGTGTATTTTCGGCATTCACATCATATACAATGGAAATATTTAACACTCGGAAATTTGTTTGGAATATTATATGCAGACTCTGAGACAGGCTGTAATGTGTTGTTTCCTATAAATATACGGCGTGCGCCCGGAGATGCCGTCGTGCGGCTACCGCAGCTGCCTGATGGTGCGTTTGATTTTGATTGACCCTCGTGTTTAGTAATGTGACCAAAATTAGGGTGAGAAATTTCGCTTGCGGACAATTCCCACTCCAAGAAGGATATTATTGTGTTGATATGAGGAATTTCTGATGGTGATTTTAATGATAACTCTTGCTAACTTTGCGGATAGATGAGGGAATTTTTCGAAGTAAAATCGTTAATAAGATAAAACTCCATTCGTTTGTAGGAAATTTCATGACTTCAAGTGCTTTCATGTTTTCTTGGTAAATGTTTAGTAAGTTACGTAAGCTAATTGTTGATTTTTATGAACAAGGTTCAACATCGAGAATTTTGTCGAGACGAGTGGAAGCTATAATTCTTTTGTTGTCATAACGCGAAATTAATACCTGTAAGGCTACAGAATAGTTCGCGTCGGTAATGGGAATTGATTTAATTAAATTATAAAGTTCATTTTTTAAAGTAAGGAGTAAATATCTGAATTTCTCTGCATCCATGTAGGCATTATTGTTATGTACGAGTGAAATATATAAATCATAAAATAAATTCCAGTCAGTACTATTACCCAAGAAGCTGGGCAAAGGAATTTTTGGCAATTTTGGATTGTGAGATTGTGCAAACGATTCGGAGTTAAAGGACCTACTCATACGCCTGACTAGTCCGTCATCTTGTTTTAATTTGCTCAAATGTGTGACAATAGCGTAGTATGCTTCATCAAAATCGTTACGAATTTTAATTTGTTCATCTTTGTTGAACATTTTTGTCTTTATAAGACATTTTTCAATTTTAATTTGTAATTTACTAAGCTTTCTCTGTTGTGCAGTAAGATCTTTAGTTCGCGAACGGAACTTTTGTTCATCGGGCGTTGCGAACTGTAAAGTTCTTTTTAAATCATCTAAAATAATATCGCGTAAATTCTTCAACTCGTGCTGGATCCGGCATTTTGCATTGCAAAGGCCATACGACACGTCGGTGAAAGTACGTATGTACGTTAAATTTAAAAATTTAAAGTGTGTGTGAAACTAAAGATAACACTCTTACTAAGACAGCACGATTTGAAAGGAAAGATTTGGATCGCAATTATCAAAAAATAATTATGTTATGTACACATAAGACTTGGCAAACACTCACCAGGGTAATTTCTGAGCTGCCCGACGTTTATCGGGCCCGGTCTGATGTATCTTCTGGCCAAATGTGTCCACTATTATTCTTTTATCCACAGGTCAGGTATGGAAAACTGCCTTAGTATTCGATGGAGCAGGGGAATGAGATCTCATCTACTGTTGGTAACGAAACGCGCACGTAATGTGCGGGTTTCGTTACCGTTGTCGTCAAAAGCGTTAGTGCTTGCGTTGACGAGGAAGTTGGCCGTTACTAGTGGTCGTTGCGGGTGTTGTTGAAAAAAGGGTTGCTCGCTTCAAAGTTAAAGAGTGCTTGCCAGTAAGAAAAAATATTTATTCGAAATGTTATGCGTAAGACGAAATGTTTTCCTTTCAAATTGCACTATTTTTAGTTATAAAATTATACCGAAACATTAATGAAAAAAAAAAAACCATATCAAATACGGAACACAAATACAAAACAAAAGTCTATGACATCATAAAATTATAGTCGGAAATTTGTTTAAATAATGGAGTCACGTATCAGCATATAATTATCTCTAACATTCGTTTAGGCATGGTGATGAAATTCATCAAATCCCCTATATCCAATTGTTAATACCCGATGGTTATACCAGTAATCAGAAAACCTAACTCCTTAAAAAAATACGGAAAAAAGAAAAATTTTATGCCCAATGTTACTCCAAAAACTACTAAGACGAATGAAATGACACCCTATAAGTTAAGATGTTTCAAGACTTTTTGACTACAGTTAATGTTAAAGTCAAAGTTACAGCCTGTATACGTCTCACTGCTGGGCACAGGCCTCCCCTCATTTCTGAGAGGATTTTAGAGCAAGGAAATGTCCGCCACGCTGCAATGTGCGAACTTCACATGTCTTCAATTTTTTTTCTTATTTCTCAGACATGCAGGTTTCCTCACGATGTATTCCTTCACCACCGAGCATGTGGTAATACAGCGCTTAAAATTGCAATAAACAATTTAATTGGTGCCCGCGGGGATCGAACCTGGGTTGCTCGTGTACTGTGAAATTTACAGCAAGCGCTAACCACCTGAGATACCACGACTCTCAAGACTATAGAGCGTGCCAAAAAATAGACATACATGAATACATAATATATACACTCGAGGAAACATAACCCTACTTCTGGGACAGATGGTTAAAAATCAAAAGCAATAAGGTGAAAAATAAAGGGAGTACTGCAGACCTTTTGCAAAATGATCCTATAGAAAACTGACGGATAAGGATCGTAACGTTGACAGTCTCTTAAACTGTCCGCGAGGCATTCTGCCTTTTCCTGGTTAAATGCGTGATTGCGGTTTCCTAGCTAATGAGAGGCGACATGGGTAAGGCAATAGTTTCATTTCCTCCAGCATATTTTCCCACTTATCTTGTCTTAATTCGCCTCAATGTCGCACTCGGGAGTTTTGTTTCCAAAAAGAAAACATCACAAATCATAACACCTTTCACAGAATTTAAAGCCACTATAGAGTAAAGGCAAGTCAAACATTGCATGAGGTATTTTGTTGGAAAATCAAATGCTTTTTCCTGAGCAAACTTTTCAATTGACAAGGGATACAAAAGAGTCCATACCCAGTTACCAATGTGTTACCAAGTGATCGGTAGGACCTGAGCTTATTATCTGGAGCTAGAGTCAAGACTACATAGGCCGCAGCTCCGTATATGGTGCCCTGGAAAGCCTGGAAAGGAAAAAAAAATGTTTTGAAAAAAAGTTCCGACTGAATCTTTTTAATATGTTTTCTGTTATGTGTTACAGTAGCACATGTGATGTGATTACATGTGCGCTAGTATGAGGCGAATGTGTGCTTTGCTGGTCGGAACGGACTGCCAGGTCTAGCAGTAGCATGTCCTCGTTTCGACAGACTCGTATGCTCACACGAGGCAGGCACCATCCCGGAGCGCGCGTATGCTATACATGGCGGTGTCGCGGAAGTCGTACACTATGTGTGCGTGTAAGTCGTGTTTTCTGAACATGCACCAGGCTTTGTCCTGGTTCACGTTTTTAACGTGGTTTACGTGGTTAACGTGGGAACTTGCAATTTCAAGTACGAGTATGTATGAGATACTTTGTATGGAGATGTATGCATACTTGTGAAATTGAAGTTACAGTTTTTGAAAATTCTACCCCCAAAGGGGTAAATAGGCGATGATAATTTGAATGAAAGTTCGTCATTTTATAAGTATTGTTTATGATACTTGGTATTTTGGCTCCTGATTAAAAATAAAGAAGTACGTATTTTACATTTTTTGA